GGGAGGGCGCTGGGAGAGCGGGCCGGGCCGGGGAGGGCCGGGGAGGGCAGGGCGCGGTGGGGGACTGGGGTGTCGCCGCCCGGGCGCGGAGCGGGGCCCGGCCTGTGCGGCAGGCGGGCAGCGCCGCCCGTGCCGGTGCCGGTGCCGGTATCGGTGCGGGGACCGGATCGCGCTCGAGGTTTCCACGAGTAAATTAATGGTTGGTCTGCGCGAGGTGCTGTGAAAGGCAGCGCGTGTCGAGTGGTGCCCAGGGCTCCTTTCCTGTGGTATCTGTCGCTAAGCCGCCTGCTTTGGTTTCATCTTTCCCTCTTCGTTTTATTTCGAAGGGGATGGGTGCATTCTGCAGGTCTTAGGCTAATGTTTAGGTACTTCCTTCCATTCCTCCATGGAATTCAATGAAAAGTCATTGCTCTTGTAGTGCGGCTTTCTTTGGAAGTTATAATGTATCTTCATGCAGTGTTTGTTACAAAGAAGCACTTCTTAATGTATTTCCCTATTCTTTGTTTCCCACTCTTAACAAAAAATACAATTTTCCAGTATTAGGGATTAGGTAACTAGAGATAAGGTTAGCGGTCTGTATTTTCCAGCATTCTACCATCCCGATACCTCCCCGCCTCTTGCTGCATCAACTACATTAGTTTTGCTGCTTCCTGCCAAAAATGTGTTGTCATTTGGGAATGTTTGCTCAGCTTAAAAGCATAAAAGCTTTTCAGAAAAGAGACAATTTTTCGGTAAGAACGTACATTCCAGAATTAAGGTAAAAGCCCCCCCCAGGCACGATTTGTTTATCAGCAAATAATAATTCCTAGTTCTTTTTTTGTTGTTGCTCTTTGGGTATTTTTTTGATGGTGGGGGGGGTGTTTTGTTTGTTTGTTTGCAAAACTTGAAGCCAGCAAGTGTAGCTGTGATATTTCTTCAGAAAGATTATGTGTTAGTTTCATAAATCTTTTCTGGTGTGGATTTACTCTATATATTCCTTTTTCTAGGTAAATAACTTGTGCCCATGATAAAGAGGAAAATACCAGTATCCAAGTAGGTAAATGTAAGTTCATTATAGAATATGTGAGATAATTATTTGATATGTTTCAAATTGCCTCTTTAAAATTTGAACTGTTAGAGTTCAAATAATCAAGCTCCAAGGGATCGATATTAGGTTCCAGACTTAAAGATCACTGATAATGTTCTAGTCAGTCTTATTTTAGTCGATTATGTTATTTACATTTTGTATCAATGTCTGTGTTAATATCCTAAGCAAACAAAATTAGCAACTTTCTAACTGGTGTTCAACCGAAGCTGAAATTTGGGAACACTGCAGCTGTCTAACAAACAGCAAGACCTCCTTCGAATTTGTAGGCATTGGCAGTTTAAATATGTACTTTGTAAATATAGCCAAGGTTGCAGCTAGCTTGATTATTTTATAAAGGAAGGTTGTATACAGTGCTGTAAAGCTAATGCGAATGTTATAGACTTTTTATTGTTGTGGCAAAGGGGAACCAAATGAGTGTGATTTTTATTAATAGCTTTTATGATTTACTTGAGTTAAGTCTGTAAATCCAATCTATTCATGTGGGCATGTATCAGAAGTGTGTTAGGGAGTCTCTCCAAGGTTCTAGAATAGTTTAATCTGAACTTATATCTCTCTCCAAAAAAATACTTTGCTTACTTTAAGGTTCATCTTTTCAGAGGAATAGAAATGACAGTGGTCGCAGAGCACAAATTCTCCTACAATTACATTTCGTGTGAAATCTTTAATGGGCAGCCTGCTGCATATATTATAATAGACCTAATTACACCATCATGAGAAAGAGGCTTTCAGTGACTGTTTTAGTGTCTCTGAACTTTCAAGTAACTCTCTTTGAAAAAAAACCAGCGTCCGCATAATTTGTTGGAAGTCAAGGCATTTAACTGATGCAAAATCTTCCTACATGGACTAAAATGTGGGCACAGCAAGATAGACAATGCCTACGGTGAATGCTGTTTTTCGAACACATCACTCTTTGCAGCTCAGTAAGAGCCCAACTTACCCTTCCAAGTTGCATTACATCAGGTAACTTTTGAAATGTTAGAAGAAGAAATTCCCGTGGCAACAGAAATTGCTGTGTCACTGTACATATGTAATATAATAAAATGGAAGTTAATCCAGTGTAATCCATATCACATGAACTTCCCTCTTTGAAATACTAGGGTATCTGCTAAGAGGTATATTAACTAGTATTAAATGAAGGAGAATTTATTTATGACACATTTATATATCTTAACTAAAGGGATGAAGATCAGTATGTGATGTAGAGCAGTAATAACCTTACTGGTTTTAATGTGATTCATAATTAAAATTGTGTGCTTGCTTAAGCATATGTTATTTAGCATTCTGTATTTTGTGAATTACTCTGTTGTAAGCTATGCAGTTACAGGTTTCCATAGTCTTTAAATAGATAGAATTAAGTATGAGGTCAATATATTTTTAATCCAGCATTCTAGTCCTGAAGATATGCATATAAGAATAAAACACACTATTTATTTACCCTACAGTTCTCCTTCATTTTGCTGCTGCTGTTTTGAATCTACAAGCTGAAAAACTGGAAGACTTATCTGAAGAAGATTTAACTGAATTATTCCTGTAAATAAAAAGACCTTTTACACTCCTGGAAAATGGCTGATATTGAGAACTGTGATTTGAAATCTTTGAGTCCACTTCAACTGTTTGAAAAAGTAACTGAGCAAGGAGAAAAAGTCAGAGCCCTAAAAGCAGGAAAAGCACCAAAGGTATTTTCATTTCTATTGTTGAACTCCTCATTTTTAAGCTTAGATCTATCTATAAGTGGCATTAAAAACTATAGTTATTCGGAAATCTCTACTACAATAAGAATAAATAAATAAATAAATGTCCATTATGTCCTCTTTGGATGTGCCCGGAGCAAAGTATTCCTTAGCAAGGGCAAAGTTTTTACCCCTGAAGCAAGAACAGAGCTGTATGCTTAAATGTCTGCTCTAGCCAACTGCCACGCTGTGTGAAGCTGTTTGGTTTCACATGAAGTTTGTATTACATTCTGCTTTGCTTTTAAATTATTTGTTGAAATCTTTCTACATGCATTATAGTACATCATGGCAACTATTATTTTTCTGTAGCTATACTGACAATTTCTGCTTGGTCTCCCTTAAGTAATCTAGTACCTTGCCATTAATTCCGTTAGTTTCAAGTTCCCTATTCTGTCATGGGTACATTGACAAAGAGAGCTCATTTTTAATATGGGCTGATTATGGGTGGGGAATGCTTGTGGGAATGAGCCTTTGAAACTGGTAGTCAAATAAAACTTTGAAATATTTATGCCTTGAGTGAGGTGCTACAATAAACATCTGTTAAAAAAAGTCATAACACTGAAAGTTGTTCTTATTCTTCATGTTCTTGTTTTTCTTCAAGTCTACCAGTGAATTATAAAAATTAAGTCATTTTAAGGTGAGCTACTGCAAGATAAGTTCTAATCAAGTAAATTAGATAACAATTTATATTATAGCTAAATAGCTTCTCATTTATGATTATTATACCTCTGAATATCAAGTTTTTTTTTTTTTTACCTCAAGCACAAATGGAAAGGTTAGGCAGAGAGATTTTAAATATCTTGCCAATGGTGATACTCGAAATTCTAATCTTTAGGAAACTGCTTTTCCTCTGTTGGGCATTGATACTGCAAACATATACATGGTGTAAAGGCTTAATTTACACTTTATTTATAAGTGAAAACACTGGTGCTGTAGCTCTTGAGTATATTAAACATCTCCTTTTTTTTTCCTTTATTTAGGATGAAATTGATGCAGCAGTGAGGATGCTGCTGTCACTAAAACTGTCATATAAAACAGCAACAGGACAAGATTATCAAGCAGGCTTGCCTCCGAGAGATCTTGCATCAATAAACAATTGTACTAAAGAAGAGAGTGAGGACCTTGTGGACCCCTGGACTGTGCAGACCTCAAATGCTAAGGGCGTGGATTATGACAAACTCATAGGTATAACTTCTTTCTTTACTGTTACTAGTGAATTTCTGTAAAGTGATTCTGATGATCACAAATAGCAAAAGATCATCAATTCAAAACCATGGTCATGGAATAGACAAGTTTTAATTTATGTTTAATCTCAGCATTCACTTGTCTAAAGAATTTGCTGGAGTTGAAAATGCCTTAGGAAAGGCTTTCCTATGGGAGACTTAAATAGATTGCAAAGAACTTTCAGGATTAACATAAGTGTCACTCACAATTCACTTTTAGCATAAGGATTGTTATTAGAAGTTATATTAATGAAGAAACCATTAATGAGTAACTGAATTTTTGGTGGCTGTGATACAGAAAAGTAATAGTAGGAAGCCTGACCATAGCTATTATTCTACCTATGACTTGACATTCCCATTAGGTAGGGCAGAGTCGACCAAAAAGTAGTGTAGAAATCTAAGTGACTACATGGCAAGACACTATCAAGTATCTAAGGGCAGTTTGGGATCGAAAAGATACAGCTTGCACAGAAAATAATCCTCTAATGGAAAATATTTTAGATTGAGATATTACAAAACTTGGGAAGTTTGCAAACTTAAGAAACAATGGTTATGTTAATATTCTTATTTGATTTGTAGCTATTTTCATAAGTTGTTAGGATCTGTATTACAGAAATAGGTGACAAAACTGGTTATTCATGATGTTTTTGTCCTTTTAAGACAATTTGTCAACCTCCAAACCATGATAAGTGCTTCAATGAAAATTCTTTAATGGTATTAAACTTCTGATGTCTACTTAGTAGCTTGTTTCTAATCATCGACCATATAACCTTATGTAGCTGTAACCTTATATTAGCACTTGAGAGCTGAATTTCTAGTTGTCAACTTTTTTTTTTTTTTTTTTTGAGTGAATGTGACACTCATGTAAGGTCATGTCAAATGAGTGTGTTTATTGGTTTAGTCTGCAAAAGGCTATCGGAAAAATATATTGGAAAGGGAGAAGTATCCTAAGAAATATGTGCCACCATGGAGGAGAGGGAAGAAAGGAATTATTAAAATCGAGATAGACAAGATTTCTTATTTTTTTCCTTATGTAAGAGGCTTGAAGAAGGCTCAGGGTTTTCTTGAAGGGGTTTCTAATGCTTGTAGAGAAGTGAGGAGAGTAAATTCCCTGCCACAATCTTGAGGTCTTTTTGAGAATGACTGATATGACTTTACTGTGAATAAATTAAGCAAAAACAGTGTCCTTTTTTCCAGGAATAGGTGCTCTGTGTGTGTGTGTGTGTGTGTGTGTGTGTGCACACATGTTCTCCCTTTTGACTTGCCCTCCAATACTGGATTAGATTGAAGGGTTTTTCCACACTTAAACTGATTGGTGAATTTGGTGGATGAGTCATTTAGCTTGTTCTAACTGATATGTTAGAAATTTTTCAAAGAATGCGAGCTGCTCCAGGAAGTAAAGCAGATAATGTTTGCTATTGATAAACTTCCTCTTTACTTGAAATATATATATATATAGATAGGTAGATATAGTCCAAGAATTTGATATCTGATAGCTCTTACAGTAAAAGGAAACGAACAGTCCATGTATTTATTAATAGTACCAGGGAAGGGTGCCATTGTGTTTGTGTATATGCAGATGTAAAAGAATGAAAGTCTAAAAAAAGAAAGCATTTTAATTGAAAGGAACATTTTCTCAAATTGTTGTCCTGGCCGTGCACTTGCTCACACACCAAAACAGCCTGCAAATATTGTGGGAAGAAAGCTTATGTCAGCAGAGTACTAGAGATGAGCATCCCTAGAGAATGCAGGGTTTTTGTCTTGAGAATGAGTGAAGAAAAGATGAGTAACAAAGAGGAATGCTAGACTGCTGATACTGACACAGAATCACAGAATGGTTGAGGTTGGAAGGGACCCCTGGAGACCATCTAGCCCAATCCCCCTGCTCAGAGCAGAGACATCTCAGGATCTTGTCCAGTTAGGTTTTGAGTATCTCCAAGGAGGAAGACTTTACAAGCATTCTGGGCACCCTGTTCCAATGTTCAGCATCTCTCACAATACATTTTTTTTTTTTTTTTTTTGTTATGTTTTAATTGAATTTTCTGTTGTTCAGTTTGTGCCCATTACCTCTTGTCCTTTCACTGCCACAACTGAGGATAGTCTGACTCCTCCTTCCTCTTCTCCCACCACTCTCTCCAACAGGCAATCCTACATGTGGATAAATGACCTCTGAGCATTTGAGCCTTTTCTTCTCCGGGCTGAGCAATCCCGGCTATCTCCGATTCTCTCAGCGTGTTACACATGCTCCAAGCCTTAATCATCTTTGTGGCCCTTTATTGGACTTGCTCCAGTATATCCATGTCCTTCTTGTTCTGCAGGACTCACAACCGGACACCATGCTGTAGATGTGGCTTCCCAAGTGCTAAGTAGAGGGAAGGATTGTCTCCCTTGATCGCCCTTGACCTGCTGATAACGCTCTTCTTAAGGCAGCCCAAGGGACTGTTAGTCTTACTGCAATGGTGAATTTCTGGGTCACCTTCAACAACTTGTCCACCAGGCCCTTCTCTGCAAAGCTCTGCAGCCAGCTGTTACTAGGAGTTACTTCTGCCCAGAGCAGGACTTTGCATTTCCTATATTGAACTTCTTTAGATTCCCATCTGCTTATTTCTCCAACCTGCTGAGATACCTTTGAATACCAGTACAAACATCTGGTGTACCAACCACTGTTCCCAGTCTCATATCATTTGCAAATTTGCTTAGGGTGCACTCTGGCTGCTTGACCAGGTCGTTCATGAAGATACTAAATTGTATTTGCCGCAGTATCAACTTGCAAAGTTCATTGCTGCTGACTGGCCTCCAGCTGGACTTTGTGCCGCTGAGCGCAACCCTTTGAGCCCTGCGATTTAGCAAGTTCTTAGTCCTCCCCACTGTCCATTTATCTAATCAGCACTTTAGCAGTTTATTTGTAAGGATGTTAGAGGAGACAGTGTGAAAGCCTTACCAAACTTGAGATAAGCAATATCCACCTCATTCCCTGTGCACACTGAGCTAGTCCCCTCATTGTGACTGTCTGTTTGCAGGCCAGGAATGCTTTACTTTTCCGAACTACTCACAGTCACTTTCTTGTCTTCACTGTGTTTGGAAACAGTTTATTTTCTCAGTTGTCTTCTCAGGGATGCTGGTGAAGCTGACCAGCCTATAGTTCCCAGATCCTCCTTCTTGCCCTTCCAGCAGATTCACAATGCCATTTGCTCTCTTCCAGTCCTCAGGGACCTCTGCAGGTCTCCATGACCTTTCAAAGACTATTGAGAATGACTTGGTCAGTAAAGTTACTGCGTAACTAAAACTACTGCCTTTTAGTTTTCTGTATTCCAGTGTATCCTGACAGTGGTGAAAGAGGAAAACTGCACAGTAAATTTTAGCAACACAGCCATCGTTTTGAAAACAGCAGAACAGGCTGTTCAGCTTTCAGGACTTACCTTGCAGACAGTAAACCAAAAAACTTGTCTTGGTGAAAGCCAGAAAATTATAAAAATTATAAAGCTTATTAGGGAGGATTTGTCCTTGTAAGCAGCTGTCTAGGAAGGTAGAGTCTCTCTGTATAGAGCTTCTGAAAAGTGCTAAACTCCTCCAGTTTAAGATGTTTCAAGTAGAACAGATCCAATATATATAGAAAAGAGTACCTGTTAAATCTGTAAAAGGACATCATTAACTGTCTGTCTCATCACTTGAACTGCATTTGTATCTGTTAGAATTCATGTTAAGATACTGGAAATATATATAGTACAATTCAGCTGTATTGCACATTTTTATAAACCAGCATTATCTTTCAAAATAAAAATCTGAAATCTTCAGCTGTTAGTATAGAAAGAGGAATAATAGACCCCCTCAGAAAGTATGAGCATAGGAAGAATCAGGGAAAAATATTTAGTTTTAATAGGAAAGAAGAGGCTAGAGAAAGAAGAGGCACTCCAAGAATGTTCATGCATGTTATTCAGGCATTTGCTGAATAGCATTCTATATGACAGAGAGCTTTTTGGCCATTTCTTATGGTGCTATACAAACATTTCCAGGGTGACTAACCCTATTTAGTCTGGACATTTTTCATAGTTTTTGTAAGGTTAGTTAGTCTCTTACCAGTTGTTATTGTTTTGCTGAACACTTTCATCTCCTTTTGAACTCTGTTAATATTCATCCAGATTTGAATTTTACTTTGCTGTTTTTCTAATGCCTTTTATTTGATAGGAAGAAATTAATGCAGTAATTAAAGTCTGCTCAGGAGAAGCAGATATACCTCTCCCAAACGTATGAGTTAGAGTGGTGTTGGCTGCATCACGAACCAGCATTTTTCTTTTTTAGTGGCATTTGCTTTAATCAATGGATGGCTTCTGTGCTTGCTTTGTATGATTCCTTGCTAGAGCAAATGAGCAATTCCCTCCACGTGGAAGGGATGAACAATTGCGAGTAAGAATTTGTGCCTGTTCAATAATGGTGAATGGCTCCATTTTCACCTCCTATTTGGTAATGAATTTGTATATAATCAGTTAATTTCAATTTACTACAAAGTCTTGTAGTAATGTAAGGGCATAACCACTAATTCTAGAAGAAAATGAAATGGGTGCAGAGTGATTTGGTTACAGCTGCATTTCCGTTTTACTTTTTTATTATTGTAGTTCGATTTGGCAGCAGTAAAATTGACACAGATCTGATTAATCGAATAGAAAGAGCTATTGGGCAAAAACCACACCGCTTTCTACGCAGAGGAATCTTTTTTTCTCATAGGTGAGTTTCTTTACTTTTTAAAACCTAAAAACCAGATTAGATTTTTTTTTTTTTTTTGTGAGTGCTATAAGGAAAAAACTTTTTTTTAGTACATGTCAGTTTCTGATATGACCTCATTAATTATAAAATATAATTATATTATTTATATTTTATATTATAATTATATTAATTATAAAATTACACACACATATATATATATGTGTGTGTGTGTGTGTGTGTGCATATATATATATATATATATATACACATATATATGTAGGGATTTTTTCCTTTGTCCAGGTTCCAGTTTGACTCAGTGTTTTAGCAGCCAGGTAGTGAAACTGGCCTAGCAGAATAAGAAAACGCCAGCGTCCACATGAAGTCACTGCTGAGTCCAGCCACGGTGTGGGACACTCATGCAGTACCTGTGTGGTTGTGTGGAAAAGGCTCAAGGAATTAGGTTGAGCCTTCCAGCCTTCCAGTGTTCTGCATTCTGCAATGTTGTGCACAGCATAACTGCCAGCGCATGGGGTCTTCTGGCCCCTCCAGAGGTTATTCCCAGTAGCTTGTCTGGATATGACACCATTTCTGGGACAGGAGAAACTTCAGCTGTGGAGATATGAGCTGAATCATCCTCCTTCACTTTGGCAACAGGAAATGTTGCCCAGGCCTGTTTTGTTAGATTTTATATCCAATGAAGTAATTTTAAGAGTTTTTTTTGTTGTTGTTGTTTTGGTTGGTTGGTTTATCTTGTGGATTTTTTTTCCCCATATGTTCACTGGAGCTGGATATGCTTGCTGTATATCTTTAATTGATAAATACATTTGGTTTTAAACACACTCAAAATTTGAATAGAAACTTTTTCCTATTTCTTCTTAATTTTTGTAAGAAATGTTTCATATTCTCTCTTTTTTTTTTTCTTTAGAGATATGGACCAAGTCCTTCATGCTTATGAAAATAAGAAGTCCTTTTACCTTTATACTGGCAGAGGCCCTTCCTCACAGGCAATGCATGTTGGTCATCTAATCCCGTTTATATTCACAAAGTAAGTTATTTCAACCATTCATGTTAATCAAAAAATATTTTTCTAAGAAAATACTGACTAAAGTTTGCAGAACTACTAAAATAATACATTGTAATGAGTTCCATTTATTTGAGATGAATATTAAGTACATGAAAAAGTTTATGCAATCATAACTGTTCACACAGGCACAAGTCCATATGGTACAAAGATAATAAAAGCAGATATTTCTGTTTAACTGTATGAAAAATATTTTATCCATGTGATTTATGTCTTCATTTTAACTTATTCTGAGCTAAAATCTCTCTGCTTTTATTAGATGGCTGCAAGAAGTATTTGATGTTCCCTTAGTTGTGCAGTTAACTGATGATGAGAAATACCTTTGGAAGGACCTGACAACTGAGAAGGCACATGAATATGCTATAGAGAATGCAAAAGACATTATTGCATGTGGTTTTGATGTCAATAAAACCTTTATCTTTTCTGATTTAGACTACTTGGGGTAAGTATAAGATTGCTTTACAGCACTGCAGCTTTGATAGCAGTATAGATAAATATATGTGGATTTGAAAGCTTCAAGATAAGGTGCATAATATTTAAAATAGAATTTTTTTTTTTTGGCTATCAACATATTTTAGACATATTCTCCTTACATTCTTCTGTTTAATATATGAACAAGAATTCATGTGCGTAATGCTCAAGCCTAAATTAAAAACATATACATACATATATATATATACATATATATATATATATATAAAAAAAAATCCTAAACCACTAAGAAATTTCCAGATTGTTTTAGTTAAGATGGTATCAAGGCATTTGAGATGTGTTTACACTTTATCTGAGTTATATTTTTTTTTAAAAAAAAAGGGGGTTTCAGCACCTTTTTATGGTCAATTAGCTTAATATAACATGACACGTTATTATTTGAACTTTCAGTAAAGTTTAAACAAGATTTTAGAAAAGAAGCTGCTGTGAGAAGGCAGTTCTAGAAGGAAGTTTCTGCTTTTGACTCCTCTTTTTATTTTTCCACTTCCTTTCTCACAGGACAAGTACAGGATTCTACAAAAACATCGTCAAAGTTCAGAAGCATGTTACATTTAACCAAGTGAAAGGAATCTTTGGCTTTACAGACAGTGATTGCATTGGTAGGAAATAATACAGACTTCTGGAAGGGATGCCTGGTTTCACTCTCTGTAGAACTGTTTAAAAAATTATGTAAACAGATTATGATCTCCTCTTCATATAACAAAGAGAAAAAACAAGAAACATATTTCTTAGCTGATTCTATTGAAAACATTTTGGAGTGAAAGAATGAAAACTGCTTTCTGGCCTTAGTAACAGTGAAGTACAAAGCACGGAAGGGTCCAGGATACAGAAAAAAAAAAAAAAATTTTTTGGTTTTTTTTTTGTAAATATTACTGCAATATTCAGCAATGCTTCCCAGAAGTTTCCATTATAAAATAATATAGAAGCTTTTCTCCAGGAAAAAATTAATCTGTTATTATACACACAAAAAAAACCAAAAGATAAAGAGGAGCTCAAAAGCCCAGTTATCAAGGTGCTTGGGTAACTCTTTCTTTCTTTTATTTCACCATAACTGCACATTACTATGGCATTGGCCCCAGACAGCTTCTGTGTCAAAGATGTCATTAAAACATTGAGATTCCTGAGCAGTAGCATCATCCTGTGCTCAGTAAGCAGCCCAGCAGCAGCTTTTCAGCCTCCCCTGTTGCCAAGGAACTGATTCCTACCAGTGTCATGCCTTGCCAGTATGCTGTAAAATGCTAGTGTTGTGGTGATGGCTTCTTTCCATACTTGGAAAAAAATCTTTTGTTACTATTCAGTTCTGAGACTTTTGATCATGGAATCAGTTTGGTCACTCTACAGTTAAGCAGAGTGTAATCATTCTCTCACAAAGGAGAATGAGCAGTTCATTAGAGTGGTGATATAGTTGAGTATGTTTCTGAGAATGGTAGCTACTTGGAGAGGAGAAATGTGAGGCAGATAAGTTTGCATTTGCTAATAAACCTTTTCCTGGCCCTCTATTTTTACAGCTAATCTTCTTTCATCATTTCTGTGTTAGTTGAAGGTGTAGTGAGATCATAGAAAGTGAAGATGGGCACTTTTTCTCAAATGAGAGAACACTGCATGATAAAGACAGGAGTTGATCTCCAGCTGAGCATCTGAATGATTCAGTTACGTGCTATGTATTTCAAAAGGCTTCTCTTTTATCACTGCATCTTTTGACTTTGTCTAAGCTTTTTCAAATGCGTTATTTTCTAGGAAAGATCAGCTTCCCTGCTATCCAAGCTGCTCCATCATTCAGTTCATCATTTCCACAGATCTTCAATGGCAAGGAGAACATTCAGTGTCTTATTCCGTGTGCTATTGACCAGGTTAAAAATAATATTTACTTAATTTTTTTATTTCATGTATTTGCTCTTTTTTTTTTCCTAATGTGTCCTTCAAAATTCATAGTGCTATATCGAAATATCTATGAAAGTCCCTCTGAATACCTTTCTTGAGAAGAGGCTGGAGAGCTAAAAGGCTGTTGTGCTGCGTCCTGACAAAGACGAAGGCTTTCATAACCTCCTGAATCATGGATTCATATATTACTCATTCTTGTCAGTCTTGGGCTGATCTTGATCTCAGCCTTGTTCACAGTGCACTGATATCTCTGAAAGCAAACACTGTGAAATCTTCAATTATGCAAAAGCTGACAGACATGAGGATGAGAAGAAACTTCTGGACATTTCTCTGGTAACTAGGACAAGAAGTAATGGGCTTAGCTTGCAATGCAAGAGGCTCACATGGCACTCTAGGGAAAAACCTTTTATCACTAAAAATAACAAAAAACTGGGGTAGTTTTCAGAAACCTGCAGAAATCAATGATTCAGATCAAAGGAAAAAGAGAACAGACTACAGAATCTACTACAAATGAGTGGTGGTATCATTACAATAGAGAAGTATTTATTCTAGGATTCAAATTCTGTACTATCTCTGAGTCTTTAACAGTTTTGCAGGGACAGTCACCATAACATGATGTAATTACATTCATCAACCATTGCTTTACATGATAAAGCTCTTGCAGTTGGTTGAAGTGAAGGGAGCAGCACAACACTGCCAGCTTGATCAATGACTGACTTGGATTCTGAGATCACCCTTAAATACGGAGGGAGGAACCTTGCCTCTTACTCTGCAGCTATGGCCAGACTGTTAAGGATAGTTTTCACAGCTATTTGAATGTGTCTGTTAATTGAAGGAATGGGAGTATACAGTGAAAATACAGAAATAAAAAGATATTAGGGATTTTTGTTTTGTTTTTTTGTTTGTTTCTCTGGGTGGACTACCTGCCTGAAGGGAAATAGGCTATGGAACACTCTTCTTTTGTTGATACTACCTGTAAAGGCATGAACTAATGTCTAAAAGTCAGCATTAAGCAGCTTTTAAAACATGTTTTTCAACTTTATTTTGTACTTTTATTATTGATTGTTCTAGGATCCTTATTTTAGAATGACTCGCGATGTAGCACCTAGAATTGGACTTCTTAAACCAGCTTTAATGCACTCAGTCTTCTTCCCAGCCTTGCAAGGAGCACAGACAAAAATGAGTGCTAGTGATCCAAACTCTTCCATCTTCCTCACTGATTCTCCCAAACAGATCAAGACCAAGGTAAGAACACGTGGAACTTGAGAGCACAGACCTTTATAATGAAGAGCTCATGATGACAGTGACACCTTTTTAATGTTTTGTTTGAACATATTAGCATCCTTTTTCCTGTTTATTGCAAATGAATGGTAAATGTGGCTAGACATACTAAGAGTAATCTATTGCCCTGCCAGCTATACTAGCAATTCAATACTATACTATACTAGCAATACTGTAGCAATATACTACAGCTATACTAGCAATATTGGAAAAGACCGAGAAGTATCTGGGAAATTATCTAAAGGAAATTTATTATTGTAATCTTATTTCTCATATCACTATATTACAGTTCGTTTATTTGCACATTTTATTAGGATCTGTAATTTAGGTTCTAAGTTACCTATATCAATTCAAAAAAAGAGATCAGAGCATCACTCATCATTGATTAAATCATTGAAACACTGAGTCCATGAGAAATGAATGCAAGAATAATAGAGAACATTTTTTTTTATGAAACAACAAAATGCCTCCAGGCGTTCTGGCATATTGTCAGATAATAATATCAGGCCTATTTTAGAAAGTTCTTCTCACCTAAATAAGATGTATAGAATAGTGATTATATAACAAACTATAGAGATTAGGGGCATGTGAAAAAAACATAGGCTTGCAAAAATGGGAATCTAGTATGGAGATATGTGAGGTGCAGAAGTAATGTATAAAAAAATCGATTTTACAGATTCTGAAATAGTTAGGCTGTCCTACATTATAAGAATAGATGTAATGTGACAGTTGGCAGTTTATTTTCTTAAGATACTCATCACTGCATAATTATGGAATGCAATTCACTGCCACAAGGCATCTGTAACATGGTAGCTAGAAAGATTCCAAGAAGCCAACGTTGATGCACATTATAAGAATATTAAGCAATGGTAAATATGAAATAAAAATTTCCTAAGTACCAGAGCCAATAAAATCTTACTGCATATGCATGTGTTTTTATTGGCTGTTGATGATATCTGAGATCCAAATGAAAGCTCTTCTTGTCATTGGGGAAGGCTCTTCTTCCCCTTCCTGGCTATTTTCTTTAAACTTCCAGGGAGATTAGCTTCTCTTGAGAACTAACCATGTCTTTTAAATAGGCCAGTGACTTCTAAATTACCATGAATGGGATGAGCAGATAAGCTATATTTACCAGTGCAATTTGTCTGCCAAAAAGAAGCTAAAATAAATAGTCTGTACATATTCCAGTTTTAGATTGATCAATTGAGCATTTGTCTAAGGATAGTCATCGTAATCGGGGTTTTATAATCTTTAAACTGGGTTTATTGTGTTGTTTCTCTCACAGGAGGAAAAAAAGAGAGAGATAAAATGAATTTCTTTAGAATTTCTTTTAAAATTCTCCATTTCTTCTTCAGCATCATCTCTTTCAAAATGAATTTCTTGATGAAATGCATATCTCTATTTTTTCTTGTGGAAGGTACATTTCTTGTAAGCAGTTTCCCCAACAAGTAGCATCTGAAACTTTCTTGACAAATCTTATTTGGATTCTTTGTGCCCGATGCTTTGGTCTGGCTGGCCCATCTGTGGCACGTTTGCACACAGTCATTTTTCTAGGCTAGCATCCAATGACCTTCCTGCTTCAGGCCTGAGGCTCTGTGTAACCTTGTCCCGTTTACCTTTAAGCTAGGCCTTAATACAGCCCTAGCTCTTCTTTCAGTGCAATCATCTGAACTTTTATAGAAATTCTTCCATGAAATCTTTATGTCATTTCAGATTAACAAGCATGCCTTCTCTGGAGGTAGAGATACCATTGAGGAGCACAGGAAGTACGGCGGTAACTGTGATGTTGATGTGTCTTTCATGTACCTGACCTTCTTCCTAGAAGATGATGACAGGCTTGAACAACTGAAGCAGGTAGGTACCCAAGTTAAAGATAATGCAATTCCTTCCATACTGGGAGAGCAAAGCTATAACCAAGTCCTCCCAGAACCTTCCCCAAGTCCAGCAACTGTTGCAGCTTGAATTAGTGCTATGAATAGCCTTAGGATAAGAGAAAATAAGGTTGTTGTGTTCTTTTCAAACAGTAATTGAACTGCCACAGCCAGGGCTGAATGCAGTCTGCTGTTTAGCCTGTGTTTGCTGCTAAAAGGGTTTTCAATAGCAGAGATACTGAAGGGATTGCCAAGAGTGAACATGACTGCTAGTGTCAACAGAGATTCTCAGTGTCTTTGCTATAAAAAGGCTACTTTAATCACACCTAACCTCTTACCAAACTCTGTGAGAGGAAAATATGACAGGTTGTGCCTCCTGTTACACAGTGAGAGGGGGGAGAAAAAAAAAAAAAAAAAAGTAGCTCTTGGATAACTGTTATTTTGAATTGGGATTCTGGGGGGGAAAACGTGCAGACTCTTTAAAATAATTACGGGGTTTCTGAGTTAAACTCCTGTGAACGTAGCTTATCCAGCACATACAGCTTGTTATATATGAAATTGGCCAACTGGCTTAATCTTTTAATAGGCAGCAAGTAATTTTTCAAGTAACATTTTAGAAATCATAGCAGCTCATCTTATAAAGCATATGCTTATGTATGTAGACATCCAAATCCTTATTTGCCAAGGCCAGATTTTTAAATAAATTCTTGTCGCTAGGCCTCTTTTCATAAAGCACTGTATTTAGCAATCAACACTTCTTGACAGGCATACACCAGTGGGGAGCTGCTCACGGGGGAGCTGAAGAAGGTGCTTATTGAAACATTACAGCCCTTGGTAGCAGCGCATCAGGAGAGACGCAAACAGGTCACGGATGAAATGGTGAAGCAATTCATGACTCCACGGAAGCTGGCTTTTGAATTTTGAAGAAATGCCTATGTGACTTCTCACTTGATAAACCAAAATCACATACTTGTTGTCTTCTGTTGTATATCATCACTCCCTGGTTATGTACAGCCTGCTATCAGTGCTTTATAAATATTGCTTTTAGTGAGTGTGTACAATAAACATCTGAGTATGGAAAAATATGACTCGTAACTATTTAAAATCAAAATATATTAATTGAGGAATTGATTCTATACAGGACAGAATTGTCTGATCTTGCAGAGAAGCATGTCTGTCAGCACAGGACCCTATTTTATTGTATTTCATGTTGAAAATATAAATAAAATTTCCATTTTGATGCTAAAGTCTAACTTGTAAATTGTTTTAGATATATTAGTAAGAGATCGTATCTCAAACTAATAACTAACAGCTCCATTTTCTTTTGTCCTGTGTAGCTTTGTTTACATTTGATTCATGTCCTATTGGGCAACCAGGGAACCCACTGCATGCATGAAAATGATGAATGCTCTGAAGCAGATTCCATAGTGACTTAGCCTGAGGTGAGTGTAGACAGGTTGGAGGCCTGTGAGTTGAACACAGGAGATAGTGAAAATCTGGTTGACTTTCTTATCCTCTTCCTCTTCGACCTGGGGCAAATCACACAAAACTGTCTTTGCTTTCATTCCTGCAACCATAAAATTAGTCGGAATGCCTCTGAAGGGAGGAGGTGAAACAGGGTTGTAAAGTTCCTTGATGTTCTCAGGGGGAAGATATTATAAAAATGCAAATTTTAGTTTCTACTAATTGTTGAGTCATGCTGTGAGAATGAAGTCACTGCTGGACACAGTGATGTTTCTAGGGCTCTCTGTCCAGTTTTATTGCATCAGAGCATTGAAACTGGTGGTACTTGTTTTAAAATCTGCCCCAGTGAGGAAATCTACTTTGCTGAAATACCTCATGTAATACCTCATTATTTTCCTTCTTAAAAAGGACTCTTCACTGTCTCTGGTATGATTTATGGAAGAGCAATTCACATGATTAGCTAGTTTGTTTTAATATGTACAGTGCTGACTACATGCTCTTAGATCTATCTTGTATTTATATGGAATGGACAGTAGCTAACCCAGATCCATCTTATCTAAATCAAATAAAAATACCTCTGATAACACAGGTGGGCATTGATTTGTGGTATTTGCAAGTCATTTAAAATATGAAGGCACTAGAATGAGAGTGAAAGATTTAAGGTTTAAGCTTTACCAGACTGTACTGTGGAACCTAATAACTATATGTAGTCTTTTTTTCTTTAAAAAAAAAGTATTTTTAGTTTGTATTTAAGCCTTTGAAGGCAGCTAATTTTAAACTTTTTTTTTAGACTTTTTTTTACATTTTTACACAACTGAGGGAGAATTTTCAAGGCTGAGGCTTCTCAGTGACTTAAGTAGACCTTGGATCAGGCTGTTTAGTGCCTGAGAGTTTGTTGCACTATTAGTCCTGCCTGGATTGGGAGCCAGTGCGAAATGCCGCCCTTCCCACCTGCGCCAGGTCAGCACTGGCACAGACGTGTCCTGTCCAGCAACGACCTTGGCTCTCTGAGAAGCAAGCATTCGGGTGCCAGGCTGTGTGCAAGTGACTCCTGTTCATGTTATAGTTACATTTGTTATAGTTAGGTTTGTGCAAGGACCAAGGAAAGACTGAAATGCACAGCAAATTTAGCCTTATTATGCATTTCAAACTTATATTAAAGCTAGGAAGGCTTGGTTTTCTTTTATCTTCTCAGTTTACATGACCTACCACCACTAGTCTAAGGCCACTGGCTCTGATGCATTAAAGTAAATGTTTACCAATAGCCTTACCTCTCTGTTACCCATGGTCATAGTATCTTAGTGCTAACAAGTGCTTAACAGTCAGTAAATACCTTTATTTCTTTTTAAAATCATAGAGTGCTTCCTCGAAAAGCAATACACTATAAATATTGTTTACAATACACTAATAGTTTGTTGCTCTGGAATTTTCAACTTTATGTTGTCACAATCCAGTGTTGTCATCTTCGAGCTACACAAAATGGACAGCTCTTACATTGATCCTAAAGGGCTTTTACAAACCCATAGTGCAAATTTCTTTGTGAAAATTTTTCATCATTCTTGTAAGATTTGTTTCCTTAGCTAAGAATTAATTCAATTATTCAGGGGCAGAGATCAGTATGAGACAAACTCCTAATATGTTCTATTCTAACTAAACTTACAGATCAGTTTTGTAACCCAGCAATTAAAATCCGAGTGGAAAGTTCTAGAAAGGCGCATGGTAACAAGATTAATGATCATTTGCTTACTGAGAAAGCACTTTACTCCAGGACTCAGATAAATACTCACAACGTGTTATGCTTCTCAATCCTATAGAAATGATACGGTCTTAAGGGAAGCTTGGGAAATTCCTAAATTTTTTGTAATTATTATTCATATTCCAGAGGTGTTTAAAGATCATGACAGGGCAGTCCTGAAAAGCATGGGTCAAATGTCTGAGACTGCTGTTGGGTAACGTGCATTACATTTTCCTGCATTTGTTGATATGTTGTTCATCTTACTGTAATAAAAATGTAGCACAAAGTCTGTATCCAACTTCTTTTTTTTTTTTTTTTTTTTTTTGGTGGTGGTGTTGTTTTTTAACTTTTAAACGGCTTAATTTACAGTTACCATGTTTTTAATCATTCTTCCTGCCCTTTTGGGCATTGAGTCGTTCAACGGAGTTGTTCTTAGTTTTGGATTTGCTGGATTCACTGAAAATCCAAAGAGGGGCTGGTTTCAGGGCTGGGAGTTGAAATTCTGTGTGTACTGTGACCAGTTCAGAAAAACAGGGAGGTCAGTGTGACCTTTACTCGGTACTTTGATAGGTTTGGCATAAACTGGTACTTAAAGGAAGGCTGGTGCTGTGTGACTGCAGTTGTCTGAGGAGCACAGGTTCTGAAGAGCTTCCATGGCCTCTTCCATACTAAGAGCTGAAACCAGTATTTGTGACCATTGACACAAAACAGGAACTAACAGCAACGTGAAAACACAATGTTCCTTCTAAAGAAAAGTTTCCGTTTTCAAGGCCAGGAAGTTTATTACTGCAAGAAATTGTCTATACAGAAGACTGTGGTCCCTAGCAAAGTCATCCCATCAAATGTGGGGTCTTCCTTCTGCTGGCTGGCCTTCAACTAGGTAATTTATCAGCAGAAAAAGTTCTGTGATTATCAGAGTGGCAAACAGAGAAGCTGAAGGTCAAAGTAATGCAAAGAAATGAGAAAATCAGCAGCCAGGTTCTGAAATCCACAAGCCAAATGCTCAGCTTGGGTACATGGAGTTAAGACTAAGCTGTATAATACATTGGTAAACAGAAAAATAAATGTATAATACATTGTTAAACTAAAATAGAATTTTTTTAATTTATATGCCTGAATTTACAGTACTTAACACAGTTGATTCCTTTACCTGTGGATCATTGAGCTCAGTGTGACTTAGCCTCCTCAAGTGTTTGCTTTGAGACACTGTCACCAACACACTGCCTATCTCTATTTTCCCAGTAAATGCGTGCAAACCGAATGAATTGCAAAGCAGGTAGCTCCCTGAAATCAGCTGCCTAAAGAGATTACTTTCCTCTCAAATAGCACTTGTTCAGGCTGAGTGGGAACCTGCTTTTATAGGATGATGAATACACAGGGGCTTATAGAGACAGCCTCTCTCCCTGGCTTCCACAGTTTTCCCCACTCAGTTTTATAATTCACCTATAAGTCCTGTTTCTTGAAACTGTCTGCATTTGGTTTACACCTCCAGGAGGAGACGTTTTTGGTCTTTTGAATGTTTGAGCCTGTTGGGAACATTGAGCTACTTCTGATTAGACTTTGTTTTCAAAGCTTACGCTTATCAGAGATGGCATCAATGCTGCTGAGTGATAAATGATTGTTTTGTCTTATTTATAGGTAGTTTTTCCTGGCTCTCTGTTTAGAGGACTTAATGTCCAAGAATTGAGTTAGGCTGAGGATAATACAGTGTAAAGGAGCTCGATTCCGGGAAATAGGCAGAGCTGGGATAAATCACCACCCTACTGGGAGAGCACTCAGCCTAATGCATCCCTCCTAGGTGAGGGGGAGTAATCTCTTAAGAGCCATCTTAAGAAGAACTTCAGGGCTTGCTGGCTTTACTAGATCCTTTGTTGCAAGGACTTTCAGGCTAAAGGAATTTTGCTGCTTATGCCCCCAAGATGCAACCGAGGGTCCTAGTTTGCTATGTCCCTTAGTGCCCTGGGATAGAATTGAACTCAATGCTGGGCCTTTCATTTCATATCCTTTTAAAGTGACCCACTCTGAACCTGCCTGTGGTCTTTTAAGCTTGTTCTTGGGTTGGCTGCAGGAGCTGATAGACTCTGAAGCGAAATATATTGGTAGTAAAGCTATCAAATGGGAATGATTTTAAAAGGTGAAGGCTTAGATTTCAGGAGGATGGTTCTGGAGCTTTTTACTGCTCTTTCTGAAGTGGAAGCAGCCTCTTTTATTCTTTGCTAATATCAGTTAAAACTTGTAAGCCTGTCTTTCTAGTACACGATTGTTTCTTCCTTTTCCAGATTAGCTGTTGAGTTCTGCTTGCTGCAAAATTGCTGTTAGTATAGTCAAGGCCAGGGCATCAACCAGTAAAAGCGGATGCAGAACAGGATCTCCCTGAATAAGAGAACTTCTTTAAAAAAATAGTCTTCTGCTCTTGCTTAAAAAAGCGCATTTTCAAAACAGTTTCGGGTTGAGATCCAGTCTAGTCCAAATTTCCTCTCCAAAACAGAAAAAGAGACACTTTTCAAAAGTAATTGAACTTAATTGCACTGTGCAGTTCTGCACTTCTCCTTTAATTTAGCTCACCACTAGTGTGCAAAGCAGAGCTTAGGGCAGTTTTTCCTTTCAGAAACAAAGGCTTTTGCTCTTCTTTCTGCCCTCTTCCAGTGCAAGAAGAGCCTGTACAAAAAGCTTTGTCACCATTCACGCACACGGTACCTTCTGCCGCCGAAGGGGACTGAAGCTTTACAGCTACCGCTTGTGCTGGGAGGAGAATCACATGATTTACTTGAAGTGAAGCCTGTTTTCATTTTCAGTGAGGCCATTAGAGAGGTTATGTAAACAGACTAGGTCTGCCACTCATTTAAAGACCACAGGAAAAAGCAGTGCAATTCATATTCCAGCTGCTTCCAAAGGGATATAATTGTGGAGCGCTTGGACAAAATTACAGAGAGGAACGAAAGGGCAGCCAGTTGTGGCTTGAAGTACAAATACGTATGTTATTAACTGAATGCAATACAATGTATTACATATAAACAGCACACATTGTATAGTGTTAAATCTAACACACACAAACTGCCCTGGACTCTTGCCTTGGTAGTAAAGATCAGCTTTTGTACTTTGTAGAAAAGGTGGATCTTTTGTCAAAAATCTCTAGCCAGACTGGCAGCTTTTTAGAACATGAGTATTTGCAAACGTTTCAGTGGCTTGGGCAGTAGCTGCAGTCTATGTGCGTTAACAGGATAAAAGGAAAATTGACTGAAAGTGCAAGACTTCCTTGTGAGTTTGCGATGCTGTGAGAGTACACTGAGAAGATCAGTCATCTAGTTTTGTGCTGCAATGCCCCTTCCTCTTACCCTGACCATCAGTGAGAGCAGAGTTCAGCGGTTTTTGTGTGTGTTGTTACAAAAAAAAAAAAAATTAAAAAATACCCCTTTGAACGGAGTGACATAAGCTATTTTTCATTTGTAAGACGATTCGTAAACCTCAGTACAGCCTCATACGTTACAAAGACAACCATGTTGACGGGAAACGCGCGCATGCAGTTCAATCCCAGTCCTTTGAAAAGCACCTTGACTCCCTCCTGCCTCACGCTTTCCCGGGCGCAGTGGACGAGGCCTTTGTACTTGTGCTGTCCCGACTCGTCCGTTTGCAGCCGGGATTTGATGACATCCATGGGAGTAGCTAATCCCCAGGCCAGGACCCCAGCAAAGCCACCAGAAAGCAGCACAACCAGGAAACCTGCACGTGAAGAGCAAGGGGGTTAGCTTAAGCTTTGAGCTGCTAGAGCTACAAGAATCTCCGATTTATTTTCTGCAGCTGCCTATTTAAGGCTTTCCCAATCTAGTTACACGAATAATTTTAGGAACAGAAAAGAGAACAGAAAGCTGTGAACGGAAATTTTGCTATCTGACGTGGCTGGACCTGCCGGCAGTGCCAAGCTAGGATGACTGCATTGACATGAGCACAGTTCTGTAGGCTCTCTAACATTTTCTCAATGCTTTTCAATCAAATTTTGCTGGAATTCTGATCCTTCCCTTGGATTCAGCCAGCCTGTGTGGTCTCCGTCAAGGAATTCGCCTTCCCAGCCCCTTGTCTCTGCTTCCCCTTCCATTGCGCCACAGAGCAATTTAAACAGCAGGCTCCAGAGATCAGCACAGGGCCTGGAGCAGTGACCACAGCTTGACCTGCTCTGGCAGAATAAAGGGAAAAAGAGCTGGAAAGCACTTAGCGAGTCATGCAAATGCTGAACAGGGGCATTCCCATAAGTCAAACAGCAAACTTCGCCCTTGCAAAGAGGAAGAGGAGGAGCTTTTTCCACAAGCTGCTTAGCAAATGCTACCTTTTTAACCCGCGCTGCTTTTCAGCAGCTAATTTGTATGGCTCTTGCAGTTGTGCATTCCTGGTGATCTCATGCAAAACTTGCGGTCTCTTGATTTCACAGCGTGCTGGTTTTGCATACATCATGCTGGCGTGTGCGGAGGCAGCGTCCCTTTTAACCCCAGGCAAGGAGAGCGCAAGGAAGAGCCCATTGCTCTGAGGAAGATTCCCTTTGCTGAATGGAAAAAAGCCTTGGTTTGCCTCTCAGGTGTTTTCTCAAAGGTGGATTGTTGCTTTTTAGGGCCAGGTCCCCCACTGGAAAGCCTCAGTTCTGTCTGAGCCTGACCGCAGTCTCAGTTCTGCACCTGGACTCCATGTTGAGGCTCCAGACTGACCCTGCAGAGATGCTCAGGCTGCTTTGCCCAGGTTTTGTTTCCAGCTGCATGCCCCGTTTCCACACAAAGAGAGTTTCGTACCAGTACAGCATCTCCATAATATGCATTCAGGGCAGATGCAGCTGGGAAATGCTGCTCTCAGTACTACAGTTACGAGCAAGAATGAACCCAAAATGTGTCAATGCTTCCCTGACCTGCACTGTTCCCACAAGGAATGTGCCAGGAGGGAGAAAGCCCTTACCCTGGCTCACCCTCCCCACTGCTGGAGGCAGGGAAGCCCCTTCCACATGACAGGGAAATAATAAAATGTGCCCTCTTAAAGAGACACTTTGGAGCAAGACCTCCTAGGTGCTGGGCAATGCTTGCTGAAAATATATTTTCTTCAGAGCACAATACCACATAAGCCAGGTTTTGCAGATAGTGCAAAACTCTCTTGTACCTACCTGGTTTATTTTTCCCCTCTGGTGTAAGCCAGTTGCACAGAACAGAATAGGTAAGGAAATATATGGCAGAGGAGGAGCAGTCCCTGCAGAGTAACGCAGAGCAGCCTTTGTAGAGGCCCCCAAAACCTTCCTCCTTCGCTATGACCCTCAGGCAGTGCAGAGATCCTTGGTACTTGGGTTTGGAGGCACAGTGGGGAGATGCCGCAGACGGATGCGGTCGCCTCTGCGTCTGCATTCGAACTTTAGCTACCTCGCTAGGTGTCATCAGCATAACCTGTGAAGTGAGAGGAGGCGATTTCAAACCTGTGCAGCGCCTGCAGGATGCGGAGCTGGAGTTTAGCCTTGCCACCTGACATCCTTATGGGATCGCTCTGCAGAGCAAGCCCCCCCACAGAGCGTGCAGGAGCGGGGTCTCGCTCTCCCTCCAACGTCCTTCCCGCTGTTTACCTACCCGGACGGCGCCCGTTGCGCTTCCCGCAAGGACAATATCCAGCTTGGAGGGCTTTGCGTCAGCTGTACCGTATCGCCATTTGCAGATGCTGCGGAGGAAGTTTCTGTAGGTGCCAAACGAAACAGAGGAAATCAGTGATACCGAGAAGACGGAGGCAGATACGCCTTTGTAAAAGCCCCAGACCTGGTTGGAAACAGAGAGAGAAAAAAAAGAGTTTTAAAAGAGAGAACAGCAAGGGAAGGTATCCACTCTAAAACACTGCCCTGATGTTGCTGAGTCAAACTTATTTCTATTTTTATTATTATTGGCAAAGCTGAGTTTGATGCTGACCCTTCTCCCAGAAAAACGGTTCTGTGCCACTGTGGCCCGTCCTCCCCAAAGGAGCGCTGCGGCTCTGCTCCTCGGGAGCAGCCTCCTCCTGCTCCCCCGAGCAGAAGTGCAAAGCCCTCTGCAGCCTGGACAAGCAGCTCCTGGAGGTACCTGCCTTTTCCGTCCTGTACGTTTCTTGGATGCAGTGCCAAATTCCTCTGTAACGCCTTTCGGTCTGAATCCTCACCTAGGGACAGAGGGCCAACTTTGAAACATGGACAGCAGAGGTAAAAAATATATATTTTAGTCCAGTAATGCTTTATCATCAAACCAGTTAGTTAATCATAAAACAGCATTCTCAAACACATTAAGTTTTTTGAAAAGAGCAAAAATCACACAACAGAATGAAGAGAGTGAAATGAAGAGAGAGTCGAATGGAACAAAGATTAAAATGTTCAGTTACCAGACTGATTTTCTTAAAGGATGGGGGGAAAAGGCAAAATGGTCTGTTTGCCTTCAGTCCACAGCCAAGAAATAAAGTTCTAACAGGTACCTTGACTGTATCCAGCGGATACCCCACTGCTGTGCTTAGACCACCTGCAACAGACATCGTAGGCACATGATTAGCAGCACTCTCCCGGGCCAGTGCAAAGGGGGGACGGCAGACAAACACAGCTCCAGGCTCCTTGGCTCCCCAAATCCCCCTCGGGCTCCAGCCGGGATGTTTAAGCCGACGATGGCAGAGCAAAATGGGCTGATTTCTCCTAGGCATCTTCAGAGGAGGGATCCAAGCGCCAGGACAGAGGCGCAGAAGCCACCACTGCAGGAGGGGCCCGTGGACTTGGAGCAGCCCCCGGCAAGGGGCTCGTCGGGAAGGCAGACGGGATAACATGCACTGCCCATCTGGACCCTTCCTGTCCCCCTCTCGGTTAGGCAGCGAGGCCTCTCTGGACCATGACCAAGCCGCGCTGATAGGAACAGCAAAGCGTCCCCGCTCCCAGGAGGGTCTGTGGGCACTGCCGAGCAATTCTGGCGCCGCATGCTTGGCTTGGGGAGATGAAGCACTACAGGAACAGGGACCTTTCTGAAAGAGGGGGGACCCCAGAGGTTCCCCCTAAGTTGTCTTTCACTCTGTGACTGGAGAGGGCCTCTTGCCTGCTACGGGTGCACGTGGCCTGGCCACACTTTGCAAGGCACATAAAGGGTAAAATCCCCCTGAGCAGGAGGGTCGCAGCCCCTTGCTGGTCCAGGTCCCCGAAGAGCCTTTCCTGCCTGCGCCAGCACCTCCCTGCGCCACAAAGCAGGAGCAAGGAGCAACACCAGATCGGGCCTGGACAGGGCAGAGCCTGCACCAGCCCGGCCCCCCGCCTCGGGATCAGCAGGATCAAGCTCTGGATTAGCGATGGGCAGCGCGGCCCCGCATGCAGCTGACCCCGGCTCCCCTCCGCCGACGGCAACGGCATTTTCAGCGGTCTCGGGGAATTTGTGAACCCTCTGGCAGCACCCGGCCTCGTTGTGAGGCCTTAAAATAGCCGCTGGAGCTGGAAACATCCGGATCCCGTGAGACGACGTTACTGCCTTGACTGCGGACAGGGAGGGAGCTGTGAACAGCTCAGCAGGGCTGCCCTCGCCTCCGCGGCCTACCTCGGCCCCATCTACATGTATCTGCTCGCACGGGCTGCGCAGGGGCCCAGGAGCCAAATTCCTCCGCAGATATAAACTGCCAAGTGACCCGCAAGGAAATCAGCCACGGGGACAACAGAGCTGGATCCATGCGGGTTATTTATACGGAGATCAAGGTCATAAAACAGCTTATATGAGCTCTTCAGGGAGACAGGAAGTCATAAAAAATACCATGCTTCAGGTGGCCTGTGAGTTAGAAACTGATGTTTTTTATTCCTGCTTTTTTCCTTTTTTAAGAAATAAAGAAGCTGCCTGGAAATGCATCTGTCGCTGCCATCATTCCTGGCAGCGTGTTCACCTGCGATTACATTGCTCCTTGGGAGCTCGGAGCAGCTCTGCTGCATTTTGGAGAAGAGCAGCAGCTGCCGGCGTGAGTCACCAGCTGCCAAAGCCTGCAATGCTTTGCTCACGAGAAAACAGCAGCAGGGTCTTATTGCAGAAGTAAAAATGAGGTCCGTTCTGCACAAACTCTATCAGCTCTGCCAGCAGGACGGATCCATGGCAGTGGAGACAAGGGCCAAGGAGACACCTTTTGTATTTCAAAGCCAAAAATGAGATCAGGTTGAAAGAGATAGAGGTAGGGAGAAAGCTCAGGACAGAGGAAGTGACAGCAGAATAAGACAGCCGGGAGGAGCAAGGAGCAAGTGAGAAGGCACCGAGTCACCCCAGAATTGCTGCCCCGGATTGCCAGCCCTCGGCCCAGGGACAGACACCGACCTCCCCAGCCAGGGCAGAGCAGCCGATAGGTGAGTGCCAACATGACCGTGCTGCGCCCTGGCCCAGGCATCCCGGCCTGAGCACTTGGCACTACCTCGGCTGCAAACCTGCCAATCCCAAAAGCAGCAGCCGGGGCGGCCCAGACAAGGGCACAGTGTCCCATGCAGGTGACACCCGCTTTGCTCCACCACACTCAAGAGGTAGGAGCCTCACAGCTTTTCACTCGCTCATGGGTACCAGGTACCAGGGCTGATCTGGACCAGCTTTGGACAAAAAGTGCGTTCCTTATGGAGAAATCACTCTGTTTGCATGTTAAGATGAAGGGAGACAGCAACACTGACAAAAAAGAAGCAGGTTGCTCCTAACTATCTTGTTCCCCATTGCTTTTCAGTTCAAAATGCTCCTGTTCTCCTTTGTTTCAATGGGAACCAAATATCCCTGCCTGGGCAAAGACCATAAAGATAAACTTTTCATTGCTCCCAGCAAAGGAGAGAAGGGAGGTCCCAAAACCTTGCAGCAACTACAGTCTGCCATGAACTGAGCTCCTGAAGAACCAGAGCACTCAGGGCAGCCAAGATTTCCGGCTGAGGAGGCAAATCGAGTCCATCAAGACCAAGGAAGAAGGACTCCGTACATCAGATGATATAAATAACCCGGGACAAAGATAGCGTGACCCATACATGCACTGCACAGCAGAAGCAACAAAGGCAACTATGTAGAGGCTGCCTATGGGAATCTGATCCTATGGGGCTCCCATTCAGTAACACTGCACCAGTTGTGAAGAAAAATGAGGTGAATGGGGTTGAGTCAGCCAGTTTTCCTGCCTGCTTTATCTGAGACAGCCTCAGTTACTGTGTAGAGGCTACAGCAGTCCCTAAACTCACACACAGAGCAGGCAGAAAACCTGATAACTCATCATCTCTTCACTAGTCAGCCATTTATAATTAATTGCAGTTAATGGCAATTAACATAAGGAGAGACCCTACCACTAGAATGGCAGATCAATAGCCAGCAAGCAGCTGTGTGGAGCCCCCCACATGTAGCAGCTCTGCGCTGCCGGCAAAATCCTGGCCTGGAGACACAGGCAGAAGCAGAGGTCACGGTCTGTGCAATGGATGGAGAGCAAGTCTCAAAGACCTGTACTTGCAAAGAGCTGTGGACATTAAAACTGCCCCAAACCCCAAACAGCCTGAGTTCCACCCGGTAACATTTCGCTGGCAGTGGCCAGCAGTATCTGTTTCAGCTGAAGGGACCAGAAGACAGCATATTCCCCTGTGGGTCGAGTATTTATCTGCCACTGGGAGCGTACTGGTGCGCAGCCTTGCGGCAGGATGCACAGAAGCCTGGACATGCCACAGCCTGGGGCAGTATTGGCTAAAGCTCAGCTTCCCTTTCCCAGATCTCTGGCTCAGGCCCAAGAGTCAGTTCATCCTTAGTCATCACTGCTCTCGCCTTGCCATGGCCTGGGTTGCTGCAATAGCAGGGCTCAAAACAGATGCAAACTCAAAGGGAGGTTGGGAGGGACCTAAGGAGGCCTCCAGCCCAACCTCCTGCTCAGAGCAGGGTCAGATGTATTGGCGGCCTTCAATTACATCCTTAGAGATGAGCTGCTTTCCTGCACCTCCAGCCTCATTTTGTCTTTACCGAAAACCTCCAAATTTCCTTGCTAAACACGTTTCTCTCCTGTTAGTTTCATCTGGAATCACTGCAGATCACTCTTTCCCAGGCCAAAGGTGCTGAGTTTGTCCCATGGGCACAGACGCAGGAGCTCAGAGGAGAAGCACAACAACATGGGACTCTAAGGGGCTGCACCTCTGCTGTTTCTCTGAGGTGCCCAAGCTGTGTTTTCTCCAAAACATCCAGAAAACACAACATGATCACAAGAACATCATTTACTAAACACAGACTCCATTGTTATCTGTTTTGCCACTTGGGTTGCTTCATGCAGTTCAGCTTGGTTTGCAGCTTCTTTGGGAATGTGAAATCTGCTTCAGCTCTACCAAACACAGCTGTGAAACAACCTCACAGTGCCAAAAACATCCCTGTTCTCACAGGAAAGCTGTCCCAGCCTTGGGAGCTGTCCCGCATGAGGGTTGGGACCAAAGCTCTAAACCTTGCACATGCAAGCTCTATGTGCAAGCTCCCAGGAAGGGACAACATGCCAGAAAACACCCCTGTCTGCCACCAAAAGATCGCAGTATCCCTCTTAAAATATTGATGCACTCAGGGGAGTGAAGTGCATTAAAATAAGCAAGCACATTTCTCTTCCCAGCTGGAGGATTCCCCACCTGCCCCCTCTCAGGCTGATTCCCCTCCTGCCCACTTCCCAGGCCCATGGGCACCACGGAGATGTTTGCTGCCTTGATGGACCGTTTTGACCCATGGTTTTGACTCTTCACATTCCCTAGTGAAAGAAGTTCATCGTTAAGTAATTCAGTTATAGTAGTGCCAACAAAAGCTACGGAGTCTCACCAGAGAGCACAAACATCGCTGCCCAGCTGAGCCAAGCTTATCAACATCAACGACAGCATTAACCGTGACATCAAAGATGAGATTTAGTCTCCTTCAGAGCTGGATTGGCCACTGGCCACTGCAAACAGCCACAAAACTGGGCTCAAAACTCCACAGTGGGTTCTAGCAGTCAACAAGGAAAGAGGAGCAGAGAAGAGAGATGTCATGGAGGGGTTGTAGGCCCCTCTCCCACCAAGAGCCCATCCTGAGCTGTGCTCCAGCAATGGCCACCTCCAGGCATCCCTGAGCAGCCAAACCTGGCCGGCGTCCACAGGTCGGGCAGTGAGCGCACAAAGGGTAGAAGTTGCCAGGATCCCTCTTGCCAAGCGGCCATTTGTGACCAGGCCACAGGTCACTCCTGGTTAGGAAAAATCTGCCAAATTCAGCAGCTCCAAGAGCCTAGCAAGCTTTGGCATGCGGGGCTTGGGCTGTGTCTCAGCCATCTGGCAGCTTTACCTGGCCTCTCTGGTGGCGGCGGCCCCAAGGCTCTTGTCTAGCTGTTCGAGACTGTGCTAAATCTGACAAGGAGATTTCAGAGAAGAAATGAGACCAGCGTCTACATTTTGTCTTTTAAAACAAAACTGGGTTTCAAGCAGTGCCCTCAAAATGTCTAAAATTAAACCACACTTTTTCTGTTGTTTAAATATAACTAACGTTCACCAGATCAAAGCCTGCTATGCAGCAGCCTGCAGTGAAATTACCATCAGAGCTGCAAATCTGTCTCAGCCTAGAATTACATAAATGTCATTCCTCTAGACCTGCTTTACTGACACAAAGCCGTGCCCGCATCCCCCCAGTTTTATGAGATGCTCCCTCAGCCCTCCAGACCCGTGACTGACCCCCAGCCAGGACCCTGGGCACCAGACCCGAGAGGATCTGCTGCCCGGGCAGTGTTTGCCGGGCTGTCTCTGCATGCAGCATTTTCCACGCAGTCTCTTCCTATCAGAGCTCCGCTCCATCACTAGGCTGGAGGAGATTGCAGGGCAGTGACCTCAGCCAACCGATCTGCAGGGCTGTTTCCTCCATAGCTCTGTGAACCTGCTCTGATGACATTTCCCTCTTACTAAAGAATACATTTTTAACAAGCAGCCCCCACCAAAAGATGCCCAGCTCTACCATTGCTACTAGGACCTGTCCATCAGCTTAACAACAAGGAAACACAGCTATCTGCTTTCATCAACGAGCACTACTTGATTTATTTACCTCCAATGGCCCCGGCAATGAAATCCATCCGGACCGAGTCTGCTGCCTTAGTTACCCTGTTTAAATGTTAGGAAAGCAGAAGTGAGGGCTGCAGCTCAGTCTTTTGAGAAGCAGAGCCCCGCAGGTCCGTCAGAGGCCGCGTGATCCGCAGTGTGAAGCACCTTCCGCCCGCCTTTGCTCGCCCCCGGGGGCTGCGAGCCTGCTGCATTCCCGATGAGCTGCACACGGGAGGCAGAGACAGGCGGCTTGGATCAGAGCCAGGAACACAGTGAATAAGTAATCCCGCAAAGCCCTGCAACGCTGCGCCAGAGCCGTCTGTCCCTGCGCCTCGCTGCCTGGAAAATCACAAGGGGAGGCGCCTGGCCGGGCTGTGTGGGCTGGGAAGAGGACATTCCCTGTTGGATTTATTAATCCCAGAAGATGGCTTTGCACTCTCATTTGCTGAAGGATGTTCACCCTGTGTCACGGGTGAGTGACACCTCCTTTCCCCCCAGCCTGGTCCTGCTGGAGCAGACCCCTTGTTGCCAAGGACAGAGCTTGTGCCCTTCCCATGCTCCCCAGGGATCTCCCTTGGCTTTCCTGGTGAGCCCTAAAGCCCTATCCATATCCCCATGAATCTTCACCTACTCACTGCATATGCACGTGGTGAAATCCAGAACTAAACTCATCTGCGTATGAAGCATTTGCCTCCCTGCCAGGCTGCAGGGTGGTTACCCCAGCCCTTGGGGGAGCTCAGCCTCCTGGCCCCCTTTCCAATATCTCTCAATCACCAGTTCAGCTGGGGGGCGGGAATCGTTGCTGCTGGAGCAAATCACTCACCTGCACCCCAGGTGAAGGACGAGATTTCACCAGGAGACTGATCTCAGAACCACGTTTCTGAGTCTTGATCACCCCAGTACTGGAAGCCAACCATGCTTTGCTGGAGAATTTTGGTCCACCTAGAAAAAAAATTCAAGAGACATAGAAGAAAAGCACTAAATTCTTCCCCTTGGGACTAAAGAAGATTAGCTGGAGGCAGAGGAGGGGCCCCTCAAAGCCTTCCTGCTCTGCACAGCACATTGGGGACCGATCCCAGCAGGGGAAAGAGGAAAGTGCTGCTAAGGAAAGGGCTCTTGGCCGTGCTGCCCTGCCTGTTTCTGCACAACAGCACTGGAGGGCAGCCACCTCGGTGCACGGGCAGCTATGTTTTGCCCAGAACAAACCAGGAAACTAAAGTCCCAATGCGGCAAAGACTTGCCAAGTCATAACCTGAATGCACTTCTCCTGAAGAGGTTTCCCCGGGTCACAGCCCAGGCACGTTGGCAGCAAAGTGAGAAGACATTTCACGGCCACTGGCAGAAGCCGAGGACTTTAGCCCCAGTGCGAAGTCTCCAGCACATTTCACAAGAACCCATTTCTCTCTGAAGTGCCTGTTCTGGTGGGCCAGACATGTCAGTGACACACAGCACATGTTAGAGCTGGGAGTCTCCTGGAACTGAATATTAAAGGATTCCTGTCAAGCTGCTTTGCACAACTTCTTACAAGCTCTTCGCTGAACACAGTCTGAACCGAAAAGAACATTTTATTCTGTAGTGTGACATTATGTAAAGACAGCAAAAACTTAAAAACAGCAGTCAAATATTATCTAAAGCGACAGCAGTGTAGCTGCTGAAACGCACTGAGTTATTCAGTACTCTGCCTGTTACACCTGGTAACTGTACAGGAATCATTAACGATTCATCACGAGTCCATGCGTGCCAAGTGTGGGCAAAGGCGCTTTCATTTCCATTTCTTCTACCAGCCCTTCCCCGGTGCTGTCCTTGTGTGCCCAGCCAGCAGTGACAGCTGCTGGGGGACTTCCTTTTTGCAAGATAAAATTAATGCACTTTTATGATCTTTCACATGCATTCACTCCAGCACTTCAATCAAAATGGTAGTTTGTTGTACACAGCCAAAAGTTTCTTTTAGATTTTATTATTCTGATAGTCTTTTGATTATAACTTTAGTCATGTTGACAAAGCAGACCATGAGAAATTACATTTCCTCTATGACTGGAATCACTCCATAACTAGGAGCAGTTCAGAAGGGCATCTGAAACGTGAATCCCTTGGCACTTGCAGCCTTGTCCCGTGAAGCTGCAGCGCAGGGCCGGGCTGCTCGGGGGGGAGCGGGAGCGCCCAGCTCCCTCATATCTGGGGACTGGCCTGGCCGGGGCTCAGCAGGGCGGTGCTGGGAACACTGGCCCAAGAGCGTCACGTCAGGATCCGGAGCCTCCTCCGCAGCAGCCGCCAGCCCTTCTCTTTAGGTGCCCGGCCAGGATTCGGAGGAAAGCAGTATCGCTGCCGGGTGGGTGATTTTAGCTGCGTGACTCACTCGGCTGAGCTGCCACGTGACAGAGACGAGAGCAGAGCCTGCTGGAAGTGAAGCAGGAGGTAGGTGTAGAAGGGCTCGTATGTGAGCAAGTCCCAAGAAACGTGTGATTCCTAAAGGAAACCTCAGCTGTGAAATGAAACACATGTTACTGCATTTGCTGTTATCTGTTAACACGCCCAGAACTGCAAGAAACCGACCCACTGCGTGCTTCCCTCCGGATTTTAAGATGGTTTAATGCACAATCCACTGGATTGAATATCCAACAGGCCTCGGGGGGCAAGGGCGCCTTCCTCCACAGGGATGCTGAGCTAGTTGGGCTGGTGCTGGCAACTTCACAGCTTGTCTTTGCAAATTCCTCATATGGACCATCTCCGTGCTAAAGAAAAAGATCCTAATGATTCAGCTTCCCTTTTCAGGAGTCCTCGTAGAAATCTGGAGCCCTTAAAGGTCTTTGTGATTTTGCTTCCTGGGTGGAGACCACCTGGCCACCCAAACTGAGAGAACAGGGTCATGGCTGAAGGGGCAGCAAGGGTAAAGAACTGGTACAAGTGTGTGAACCAAAAAGAGAGGTGGATAAGGCAAGGGTAGGGTAGGTAACCAGTGCTAAATGGAAGCTTTCAGGCAAGATACAATGGCAGAAGTGTCCCTTTGCCCCTCTCCTTCTGGAGTCATTCCCAGGGCATTTCCCTCACCATCCTGCAAAGAAGAAAAGCCCATCCTTGTCAGCCTCTGCAACGCCCTGCCAGGCCATCAGGCCAGCCTTGCTGAGAAACCCTTCCTGCCTCATGCCATGGCATTGCAGGCTGTGTTTTCTATTCCCTCTCCGCTGTTCTCTATCAAACTCACATGCAGGCCCAGATTATTTTAGAAAATCCTTGGCTGAAGACACTGTCCAAACAGCGTCAGCCCTCGCTACGTCATTGGGCTGTTTGCGAATTGCAGAACAGGGGGGAGCGACGAGGGCAGGATTGAGCCGCGCGGCCTGGAACTTGGCTCGCCAGTTGGTGGGTGGAAAAGGGGAGGACCCGGCCGGCTGTGGTTATGGTGCAGACTTTCAGATCAAACTGTCTCATTGTCCTTTATCTCAGGCAAGGGATAAAAGCCAATAATACCAAGGACTCAGAGGTTCACGGCAGGTATTTCACAGTAAAACAAATAAAACCAGTTAGGGAAACCTCTCTGAGCGATGGCAACTGCATCACGTCTAGCAGGGTATAAATGGTCAGTGGTTTCACCGGTGGAAAGCTGATGTAACTTGTGTGGTTTCCACACACATTTCCAATGAAAGTAAACTCTCTATGCGTAATCTTCTCATCAGTGCTACAGTTGTACACGTGTCCCCAGCCACGGGGTCACCGCGAGGGGTTCAGGCACTGGTGAGACACCCAAACATCTCAGCTCAGGAGTAATTCATGGGGAAAGGGGGAAATAGCAGCACTAGCCCCCACCTTATAAAAACACCCGTAAGAAAATATGTATTCAAAACTGCCTTGTTCTCTGGGTTCTTTTTAACTGTTATTTAAATCTTCTCCCCAAATGCTATTATTTCTGATCAGAAAGAGGGAGCATGACAGTTGTATCAGTCAGCTCCTCTAAAGGAATTTATACCAGTCTAAACAACTGGATTTTGGAAGGATCTGCCAGCTCTGCTGCATGGAGGGGTTGTCAGCACTGCTGTTGACTTCCTAATTGCACACTGAGCCCCCTCCCCACGCCTTGTACATTTTCCAGCTCTCCAATTAACAGGAGATGGATTGAGTTGGCAGGAGGCTTGGAGCGATGGGAAGTTCTTCCCGCTGCTCCCGCAGGGCAGGCGTTCACCTTCCCGCCTCCGCCTGGCAGCAGGGCAGTGCCTGCTTGTCATGACTATATATTAATGTACTGCCCTCGAGCCTCCTCTTAGCAGCAGGGACAGCTCAGGCATTTGTAGCTCTAAAACACAGTTGCTCTGGTGGGTAAACCACAAAACACATTTATGGTGACACCTCAGTACCAGTGCTCTCTCCAGGGCTGTGTCCCTGTGTCTTTCACCCCAATATTCTCAGGATATCCCCCTACAGAGACTTCATCTGCTTTAGCCTGGTGAAAGACATGTGAAATTTTGTGTCCAAAATGCCATCTTTCTGACTAGCCCACTGTCCTTCTATCCACCTGAACTACCAAATCGATTTAACAACCCCAATTACCTGGAAATTTAGAAGAAAATCCAGCTGTAGGATTATAAAGCATTGTTCTTTAAGAATTCGATATCAGCTGCTAAAATCACATGGGAAAGATTGTTATAAAGGTACTTAGCTGGCAAAAACAAATTCAGAAAAAAAATCTAAATACCAGTGTTATTATGAGCTTATGCTAAGAGGGGATATAAACAAAAGAATTTAAGAAGATTTTTATCTCGTGGGAGTGAAGAACAAATGAAACCATGCAGCACTAACTAACACATTCAAGCAAAAATGAATCATCTCCCTTAAAAACTTATGCTACTCAGCAAGTTTAATAGCCTAGACCCAGCTTTGCTGTAGGCACAGATCTAGCCAGGCTAGCCTGCTCCGTGCTGACTCAGCCCTGCCTGCTCTAACCCCATGGAAGTGACGTGCACAGCCCTGTGTCAGGCAGAAGTGTTCAATTCCATGCCTTGAATGTCAGTGGGACCTTTTCCATGGGGTCAGGCTGGAGAAGACTCATCTGCAAGCCAGGGGATGCCCAAGCTCTTTGCATAGCAGCTTCAGCAGAGCACCCAGCACGAACAGCACTGGCTTCCAACCACCGCGTGAGGTCCACGGCCTCCCTCCTCTCCCGCAGTTTGTGTTTCCCTGCTCAGGAGTGCACGAGTGCCTATCTTGACGAGCACTCAGGACACGTCTCTCTCAGGACACGTCAAGAAACATCTCCCCAGGGACACGTTTGTCACTCTGCTCTGCCCACTCTCTCAGAGGCCT